AAGTCATTTGCACATCCAGAGGCTCTGTTTTCTTGACTTGTAAAATGAGGCATTTGAGCCAAAGTCTCCACCAGTTGTAAAATTCTATGATTCTCTAAGTAACAGTTTACTGCATCGCTGGCAAGCCTGCCTCGATAATGAGAACGATCCAATTAACACTCTGCGATGTAGAATAATCATTTTGTAATTCCGAAAAGTAGACTATTTGGGGGGGAAGGAGTTCGGATCATGAAATACGGTCGCTTTGTTTTTCAAGACCAATGAGGCATCTGCGGTCCAAAGATGTTGGGTAACTTCGTTAAATTACAAGCTAATTAGTGGCAGAAGCAAGGCGAAGGCTGTCTGACTAGTCCTGCATGCACTGAACCGCACTGCTACCCAGTTGGCTTCAGAACGGCTTTCTTCACTAGAAGCCGTCTCAGCCCCCTGTATAACCCACAGTGTGCCTGTTATGTGACTCATTAAACACAACCTACATCACAGCTGTGCTTTACTGGCCTCAGGGTTATTCGTTTTCCAGACACCTACTCCAGGAGACATTTGAAGAGTGACCTGAAGGTCTTCATGAAAATACACCAGAATAAAATACTTTAAAAAGTCCTACAGGCTGTATAAAAAAATAAACAAAATAAAATTTTTTAAAAAAAGGATTTATTGTATAACACAGGGAACAATATTCAATATTTTATAATAACATATAGTGGAAAATAACCTGAAAAAAAATAATAGATATATACACCTGAATCACTTTACTGTACGCCTAAAACTAACACAATACTGTAAATCAACTATACTTCAATAAAAATGTTCTTAAATTAAAAAAAAAAAAAAAAAGTCCTACAGGGGTCGTCGAAGAGAGCAAACACACCATCTGCTCGCTTCCCATTTTACCAAATGAGTATCTGACAGGCAGAAAGTTCCTAGTGAACCCAGTTTTGACCCAACAACTTCAGTAACCAGACAGCAGCGCCTGCAGCATAAGCACTTTGTCACTCTGATTTCAGGCGGTTGGGACAGCAGGACAGTGCCTCTGGCACGTACCCGTAAACTCCACAGGTAGGTGTACTTAAGCGACATGACAGCACAGACACTGACTGCCCTGGGTGGCAACTCACACAGACCTAGACCTATTTCTGACCATGGAATGCCAGCAGCTGCTGGGATGGAACAAAGGCTACTCTGGAACACCGCCTCCACCACACCCCAGGTACGGAATCTTTGGAGGGGCTGCCCTGAAAACCTTAGAGGAACAACTTGGGAACTTCTGTGCAAGAGCAACGCTGCATGCCACCCAATACGCTGCGATCTGTTCCAAAGAGCGCAACAGACAGACATTAAACCCTAAATTATGTTGCATCCAGGAACTTGGTTGAACCCTTCAGACATCATGGTGTGTGAAAGAAGCCAAACACAAATAAGTATGTGCTGTATGATTCCATTTATATAAAAAATAAAAGTAAAAACCAAAATGAATCTATAAGAGTGATAGAAGTCAGGATGGTGGTTACTTCTTGGGTGAGGGATATTGGCCAGAAGGGGTCCAAGGAGCTTCCTAGGGTGCTGGGAATGTTTAATTGCTGGATCTGGGTGGTGGCTACAGAGGTGTAAAGTTATTTAAAAACTTACCAAGTTCTACACTTCAGATATGGGTGTACTTTACCTATATGCTTGTTACACTCAGCCATAAAAAGAAATGAAATTGAGCTATTTGTAATGAGGTGGATGGACCTAGAGTCTGTCATACAGAGTGAAGTAAGTCAGAAAGAGAAAAACAAATACCGTATGCTAACACATATATATGGAATTTAAGAAAAAAAAATGTCATGAAGAACCTAGGGGTAAGACAGGAATAAAGACACAGACTTACTAGAGAATGGACTTGAGGATATGGGGAGGGGGAAGGGTAAGCTGTGACAAAGTGAGAGAGAGGCATGGACATATATATACACTACCAAAAGTAAGGTAGATAGCTGGTGGGAAGCAGCCGCATAGCGCAGGGAGATCAGCTCGGTGCTTTGTGACCACCTGGAGGGGTGGGATAGGGAGGGTGGGAAGGAGGGAGACGCAAGAGGGAAGAGATATGGGAACATATGTATATGTATAACTGATTCACTTTGTTATAAAGCAGAAACTAACACACCATTGTAAAGCAATTATACTCTAATAAAGAGGTAAAAAAAAAGAGTTTATAGAAAAAAAAATTAAACATATTGTGTGAGGTCCTTTGACATTAATGGAGAATATGCTTCTTCCTTTTCTTTAGCATAAGAATATCTGAGATTCTCTGAATTGAGTCTTTGCAAATAATATTACTAGCAATAACAATAGCTAGATTAAGGGCTTATATGCTCCAGAAACTGTGCAGGGAGACATACCAATTATCTCCTTTAATCCTTAAAACATTTCCGTGAGGTTGACACCATCGTATATTTCACAGATTACAAAACTTAGGCACAGAGAAGTGAAGTAACTTGTCCGAAGTCACACAGCAAATAAAACATCAGAAATGGAGTTCAAATCCAAAGCAGTCGGACTCCTGAGTCAGGATAGGGGGAGTTTTCAAACTGAGTCATATTTGATCTAACTTTTCCCCTGAGCCTAAGAAGCTCCCTGATATTACAGTGCAGTCTGCACATTCAGTATTAAGAGAAAAGAGAATCAAGGCTTGGGCTGATGGGTTAACAGTCTCTAGATGATTACATTCTTGAGATTCATTCAACAGATACACCTAGTTTGGTACAAAGGCCTATTTTCTTTGCCTTTAGTAGCAGAGGGTAGGTGCTATTATTGGCTTGTTATAGTTTGACCTTGTTCCTTTCCCTTAAAAGAAATACACAGTGGGGGCAACACAGAATGTTTTCATATGCTATTCACTGGGGCTCTCTAGAACACTGTGTCCCAGGACAAAGTTTCCAAGGCGTGCCACACACTTTTAAGATCTGCTTTAGGCCTTTTGGAAAGGCTAAAGGGGCTTACTTTCCTCTTTTGCTAGCTTTTATATTGTTATTATATTAAATATCATTTATCTGCAGAACCTGGAGAAGGCATCAACCACTCTTTAATTAAAAAACACAGAGCTCGTGATTTTCCAGACACTCTCTCCTATCCTTTACTGCCTCCTCAGTTAGTTTCTCTGATGCTCTCATATGAAAACCTGTTAGAGCATTAATTTCTTGATTAAAAGGAGTCACAAATCATAGGCCCTCTAAAAATCCATCGGGGAGAAGGTCCAAAAGCAATGTGATGGTTTAGGCCCTCTTAGCAACCAGGCCCAAATGCCTGTCCAAAGGATTAACTGGGGTCTATAACATGAATATCGAATCATCTTCCACCCCACCCCTGCTCCCTGTAATAACTATTTGTGGACTCGCTATTCGGGGAACTTAAATGATTGATGTTGACAATTTTTTTTTTTTTTTTGCGGTACGCGGGCCTCTCACTGTTGTGGCCTCTCCCGTTGCGGAGCACAGGCTCCGGACGCGCAGGCTCAGCGGCCATGGCTCACGGGCCCAGCCGCTCCGCGGCATGTGGGGTCTTCCCGGACCGGGGCACGAACCCGTGTCCCCTGCATCGGCAGGCAGACTCTCAACCACTGCGCCACCAGGGAAGCCCTGATGTTGACAATTTTGATTAAAAAAAAAAAACTGGTCTCATCCCACCCCTGCCCCTGACTATCTGGATAGCGTCCTGCTCACAGCTGGGTGCACTGGTTCACAGCCTGCCCCTCACCCCAATCCCAGCTCCAGAGCTCAATGTACCAAGCACAGGCCACGCAGTAGAAGCGGAGGATCAAAATCAATGGTGCCTCCCCCCGAGTAGGGGGACACAGAGCACCCTGCAATAGATGTCTCTACTCGCCCTCCATGCTCTATCCTTCATCAACCAGTTACGCTGCCTGAGACTTTAATCCTCCTCCCAGCCTCATCTGCGCTCTGCCCACCTCCAAGCCAGCCCCAGAGCCGCGTACCACTCCCTGCTGTCACATCTTACATCTACCCACGTCGGCAGACTGACCTGCCCAGAGCTCCTCCTTCCAAGCAACATCTTTCACCCCCTAACTAGGCCCTGCGCAACTCAAGCCAGAACTCACCAGCCTTGACCACGCAGATCAGGACAGCACAGCGGACCTCGGTCCCTGGGCCATCTTCCTCCACCTCGTCATGTCCCGTGAGAAGACACGCTCGCCCCATACCTCACCCACACTTGGCCCCTTAGGTGCCAAGGTCTACCAAGATCTTTCAACGTCACTCATCATCCTAAATCCTAGCCCAGTGTGCACCACTGCCTCAGAAGTTCAGGCCCTATCAGCTAGAAACCTCTGCCTTTGGCAAAATTCTCTGTTTCAAACGAGTTGTGAGTGATTTCAAAGACATATGTAATCTTCCATGCTGTTAGGGCATCCATGTAAGTCGAGAATGGAGAGTCACGGTCCCGAGTGTGCGGTTTCTGCATCTCAGCCAAGCATGGCCTCACTCTCCAGTTGGGTTTCGTGCAGCGACTTAAATACACACGCACGTGCACACACACGTGCCCTCACACAGAGGCACGCCTAGGTTTTCCCTTTCTGGAAAATGGGCTTGGAAAAGAAAAGTTTTGGTGCTGGTAAAAGAAAGAAAGTAAGAGCTAAGAGGGCAAAGAAAGTGAAGCTTAATCAGAATACAGAACTTTTGGATAACTTCAGAATTACATGATGAATTTGGCAATAGCTGAAATGAACGAACTTAAATATTTATATTAATATGGAAATATTTCTGATGAAAATAAGACAATGTGTCACTCAAGGCAATGCCCCAACCAGAACAAGAACCACACACTGTGCAGGAAGCTACATGCAAGCGTGAGCAGCCCAGCGTCTTGGGGTCCTTCCTGGTGTAACGGGTCTATTATATAAGTGGTGCCAAGGAGGAAATATAATTATTTTGAAGTTATTTTTGAGAAACTGTTTCCTGCCCATTGGCAAATGGCAAAGCCAAAAATAGGCTCTTTAATGAAGTTCTTACCTGGTCGTCATAGCGATACGTGAGGAACTGCTCCCCTGTTGTATCTTCCAGAAAACTTCCCTGAGGGGAGAGTGCAAACTCAGGAAGGAAATAGGCCCCAGGAGACTTCTCTGCTGTGGTCTGAAAGGCAAGATCACTTGGTTACAAATAAGGCCCCAGTAAGGACTCCCAACAGGCAGTCTCTGAAAAGGGCTGAGTCCAAGAGAATCCACCCACCAAAAGGCTGTACCAAGAAAAGGGAAGTGCTTATTTACAATAGCCTAGACGTGGAAACAACCTAAATTTCCCTCAACAGACGAATGGATAAAGAAGACATGGTACATACACACAATGGAATATTACTCAGCCATAAAAAAGAATGGAATAATGCCGTTTGCATTATTTCAAATGGCATTAGACCTAGAGATTATCATACTAAGTGAAGTAAGTCAAACAGAGAAACACAAATACCATATGATATCACTTATACGTGGAATCTAAAATACAACACAAATGAACCTATCTGTGAAACAGAAACAGACTCAAAAGACATAGAGAACAGACTTGTGGTTGCCAAGGGGGAGGGGAGTGGGGGAAGGATGGATTGGGAGTTTGGGATTAGCAGATGCAAACTAGTATATATAGGATGGATTAACAACAAGGTCCTACTGTATAGCACAGAGAACTGTATTCAATATCCTGTGATACACCATAATGGAAAAGAATATAAAAAAGAATGTATATATATGTGCATATATACACATGTATATACAGATGTGTATATATACACATATATATCTGTATATATATGTATAACTGAGTCACTTTGCTGCACAGCAGAAATTAACACAACATTGTAAATCAACTATACTTCAGTAATTTTTTTTTTTAAAAAGGGAAGTGGCCTCTCTTGGCAAAGGCCATGTGAGACACACCAGGTATCTGTGTTGAGGGGCTGTTAGACCAGGATAGCACCCTGGGCCACCTCAAATCAGCTCACACCGTATTTACTCGCTGACACCTGTTTCTTCCTCCTGCCCACAACCTTCCAGCAAGGCAGCCACAGTGAGGTTGACTTGCTTAAGCTCTGTTGTTACAAATCCATTGTTTCTAGGACGTGCTTTCTTTCTCTTTCCTTTTCTTTCTTTCTTTCTGTTTTTGATTGTTGGGTGAAAGAGTGAGAAACAAACTTATTTTTTCCATACTATAACAGAAGTGCATGTTCCTTGCAGAAACTTTAGAAAAGTCAGATGAGTGCAAAAGAAAATAAAAACCGCCCATAAATACTCCAACCTATAATAACCACTTTTAATTGTTTTGATGTATTTCCTTTGAGACTTTTTTCTCATAATGTTTTGTATGTTTATATAAAAAAATCCAAGATTAAATACACATGGAGTTTGCAGAAAGACTCCATTGGATTCAGGGAGAGCTCATGCCCTGGCATCTGAATCGGTAGACGTAAGCCCCATTTGTTGGGGTCAAGGGAGACAGGAAGGACACCATCTGTTGGAGAATATGGCTTGGATACAATGGCCCAATGGACTTGCTACCAGCACTTGCCACGTCCCCATCCAAGGGAAGTTGGAGCACGTAGAGGGCTTCTCCGGATCACTGCCTTGATGGGTTCAAGGAGGGACGAGATAAAGGAGATGGAACCCCCAGTGCTTAGCCCCACGTAATCAAAAACACCGGTCCGTGACTCTGCCCCCAACAGGGTACCTCACTCCCCCTGCTCCAGAAGGAGTGAGCAAGAAACAGAGTGAGAGGCCATGGGTGTAACTCCGAGGAAATCATTTTCTGCAAACAGGAGGAGTGGGGAATAAAAGTACCCCTCTAACACCTCTGTTCCACCCAGGGTCACAACTCCAAACTGCAGCAGGAACTGCGGTTAAAGCAAAAACAGCCATCTGAATGCTACACGTTAAAAAAAAGAAATCAAGATGTGATCGCTTTGTTAAGGCACTTCGAACAGATAAGTCTGTGTTTGGGTTAGCCCTACCCTGTTCAAAGAATTTCAAGATTTTCTCATTAAATTTCATTCACATGAGGGGCTCAGCGCCAAACGAGAGACAGGAATCTTCCCAGAGCCCTGCAGCCCCAGATCTCCTTTGCCCTCCTTCTGAATGGCTTGCTCGAGGCCCAGTGACTCCTACCTGAGTGCGGGAAATTGGAAAAACGCCTGTGGATGTCCCACCTGCTACACTGTGAAGCCACCCTTGACACGGGGTCTGTCACCCCAGTGTTCAGACCACCACCGGGTGTTCTGCGGAGGTTTCCTCTGTGATGTCGCCTTCCTGTGGGGAGGCTCTGCTCTGAAAGTTAGCATGGTCACCCTGAGGTCCACAGCAAAGCCACGGTGCCAAGAGCCTGGAAAGGAGGTCTGATCAGGCCCAGGCAAGGGCACAGAATACATCTGTCAGACCTGGCCAGCCAGCTCTCTGATAAGTGCTGGAGATTGTTCCTAAGTGACCTTGGGAGGAAAAGGAAGGGGAGCTCATGCCACAGCCTCCACAGAGACAACCGGACTCTCACACGCTTTAGCAGGTTCTATGGGGCTCTGCATGAAATATCAGAAAAAGCAAAAAGCTTCCTGGTAGTAAAGCTTTCCAGTCTTCAGTATTCATTAGGGTGGGAAAAAAACAGCAGACGCTACTTGATTATAACCATAGCTGATTACCTTCCACTTTGTGAGCCACTGTTCCAATCTTTACATTGTATTTATCAGGGTTTAAAAAGGTGAGGCAGGAATAAAAACTTCCACGTGAAAATAAGAGGTGAATTTGATGGTAAAATGTATGTCTCTGTATGTCCTAGGAAGTTTGAGTATGTGTAGAAGTATCATTCTTCTCACCAAGGATAAAAACACATCTAGGTAAACCTCAGGGCCCAATTTTATATAACTGCTGGTAAAGAATGGATTCTATCTTAACGTAATTCATGGACACTGATTACCAAAATGCTTAGCGAAGAATCGATAGAAGTTAGTTGTTGTTGTTGTTTGCCTCTATTGGCTTCAGAGATGGTAGAATCATAGTTTTAAAGGCCTGAAGAGGCCTTAGAAGTCATCCAGGTCAAACTCCTTTTTTTAGAAATGAGTAAACTAAGGCTCTGAAAGTGAAGAGACTTGCCAAACACCACAGAACAGGAGCCAGGGCTGGAACATGTTAGTGGCCATGTGCAAAGACACAGTTAGATCGTTTTACCAAAGAGTGGGGGCTGGGAGCAGCCTAGGATCAACACCTGAAATCAGCTCCCCAAATACACAGGGCCTCCCAGTATGACGCTTATCTTTAGTTGACCATACAGTCAACACATATTTATTGAGCACCTACTACATGCCTGAAACTGTTCTAAGTGCTATGACTACAATGACGTACAAGAAAGATAAGGTCCCTCTTTTCATGAAGGTTATACTCTAGTGGGAAGAGATACATAATAAAATAAGCAAACAAATTCATAAACAAGAAAATTAAAGCTCTAAGTGCCATAAAAGAAATAAACAGGGGGATATGAGAATAAGGTTGGGAGAGGGTTGTTTAACTTTAGATAAGAAGATCAGGAAGGCATCCCTGAGAAGACAAGATTTAGGCTAATACCTAACAGGTAAGAAGGAACCAGTCACGCAAAGAGCCAAGGATGAGCATTCATGATGAAAAGAAGAGCAAGTACAAAAGCCCTAAGGGGGGAAGCAGGTCAGTGGGACTGCAGATCAGAAAGGAAGTCAGTGCGGCTGGATCCAGTGTGAACAAGGAAGAGAGTGCATGAAATGGAAATAGGAGAGAAAGGAGGAGCTGGGACATTCAAAGCCTTACAGGCCATGGCAAGGAGTTGAAGAACTATAGATTTCAGCTAACACTGACTGCTTTGTGGAGGATAGGTTAGGGGATGCAAGATGGAATCATACAGGTCAATTAGAAGGCCGTGGCACTAATCCAGTTGAGAAGCGATGATTCCTTTGACTGGGAGGATGGCCGTGGTGAAGGGGAGAGGTAGATAGACTAGAAGTTGCTGACGGGTGAGAAAAAGCAGGGTATCAAGGATGACTTCCGGGTTTGGGCTTGAGCAACAGGCTACAAAAGATTCAGTATGAGGGACTTTGCTGGTGGTCCAGTAGGTAAGACTCTGCGCTCCCAATGCAGGGGGCCCAGGTTCGATCCCTGGTGGGGGAACTAGATCCCACTTGCATGCTGCAACTAAGAGTCCGCATGCCACAACTAAAAGTCCGCATGCCGCAACTAAAGATCCCGCATGCTGCAACAAAGATCCCACGTGCTGCAACTAAGACCCAGCGCAGCTTAAATAAATAAATAAGAGATTTAAGTACTAAGAAGAAAAGTTCTTTAAGGAAAAAAAAAAAAGATTCAATGGGTGGGTTGCCCTGAGGCAGGAAAGGATCTGCTGGGGAGGGGAGGGGCAGAGAGTTTGGGTCTATTTGGGTCACATGAAGTCTAAGATGTGTATGAGACATCCATCCATGTGGAAAGCTTGAGCTGGCTGTTCAATATGCAAGTCTGGAGCTCATAAGGGAGGTCTAAGGCTGAAGACAAAAATTTGGAAGACGTTGTTTTCATTTCCTACACATATATATTTACAGCATCATACTGGAAAGGACCCTCCCTAGAGAATGAGTTTGGCGGACAAGAGGGCTTTGTCTGGAGCCCTCAATAATTTTAATATCTGAGGACTTCCCTGGTGGCACAGTGGTTAAGAATCCACCTGCCAGTGCAGGGGACACGGGTTTGATCCCCGGTCCGGGAAGATCCCACGTGCCGCGGAGCACCTAAACCCGTGCACCACAACTACTGAGGCTGCGTGCCACAACTACTGAAGCCCGCATGCCGCAACTACTGAAGCCCGCGTGCCTAGAGCCCGTGCTCCACAACAAGAGAAGCCACCACAATGAGAAGTCTGCGCACCGCAACAAAGAGTAGCCCCCGCTCGCCGCAACTAGAGAAAGCCCGTGCACAGCAACAAAGACCCAACACAGCCAAAATAAATAAATAAAATAAAAAATTAAAAAAATAAATAAGTCTAATATCTGAACGTGAGTAGAAGAGGAGGAGCAAGCAAAAGAGACTAAAAATGATGATCAATTAGAGTAGAATCAAGGAAAAAAAGACAAATATTGGGTCATGGAA